TTTTTTTTCGTGGTGCTCACAAAATACGGGTCGAGGCATCAGGCAAATTCCGTCGAGTTCCAAGGTTATCCAGAATTTTAAAAATTGCTAAACTTCCGGCTCAAAAACCAAATTGTAGCCTCTGGCCAGGATCAAATCAATTTTGGAATGGAAGGATCAAACCAATTTTTTATATGGCACTAACAAAATGTGCATCTAGATATAGACGGAATATGGCGTAGTTGCAAGCAAAACGAAATTTTTAGATTTGCCAAACTAAAAAAATCGCCACTTTCAAACCAGCCAATTTTTTTAAAGTTCACTATCAAAGTCCGCGTCCAGACATAAACTGATTTTCTCGGAATTCCAAGTAGAAACTGCATTCTAAAAAATTGCTAAACGTCGGGCTCCAAAACGCAAACAAACGATAAAAAATCACTCAAAAGCTCCTCATCCTGCGCCGAAAAATAACCCAATTATGTAATAAGAGATTAAAGAAAGTTGGGTAATGGTCGCCTATCATGACATACCGGAACCGTTCGCGATCCTCCTCCTCCTCCTCCTCGATTATAAACTCTCAACCTGAAGGTGGAGGGTTTCGAGGCAGGGAGCTTTTGATTGCCGACGCCGGCGACCCGAATGTTCCCGTTTCCGGAACTGATTGTAAACACCCAGCTTGAAATTATCCCTTCGGGGGCGGCTTTTCCGTTTCATCCCATTAATTACAGGGGCCGCACAAGAACTAGTTTTCCTCAAGAAAATCTCAGCCTCATGTTGGCAGTTTTCCTGGATTTCAACACGTATTAGTTGGTTTCGAGTTGCGAACTCGACTCAAACATGCCGCTGCTTTTTTCCAAGTTTCTCAAGAACCATTTGAGCCACATGATTCGTTTTGGCATCGTTGGATAGATAATTGAATCCGATTCAGTGATGCCACATGAGTGAGAAGATTCCAGTCGTTTGGACCCAGAAAGCGAAATTTGAATTTTATACATTGACGCAATCACCAGATAATTTCAATTGGGGAAAAACTGCTAAACAAAACAAAAAATTACATGCTACTTCAGTGATCAATTAGGAAGGAAAAAGATATCTGGAAATTTTTCGTGCAAGGCCTAATTTTTTACTAAAAATAAGTTAAGGTCGAGCCGTTGCAGTGGTCAAGAGCCCACAGCCTATTAATATAAACCGGCCACTTTCATCTGGAAAAAAGTGCTAAACCCCCGATTTCTCCCAACCTAAAAATTAGCGGCTAATTCTACGATCAACTGGGAACCAAAAAGGTCCCTAGGCAGTTTTTCGTGCCGAGCCCCATTTTGGTGCAAAAAAATAAAAGTCGACCTGTTGCAGTGGCCAAGAGCTCAAACCATATAAACCGGACACTTTCAGATGAGAAAAAACTGCTTAACCCGCTATTTTTGCTAAACCAGAAATTACTTGCTAATTCTGTGGGTAATTAGGAACAGAAAATATATCTAGAATTTTTTCCATGCAAAGCCCCATTTCTGAGTAAAAAAATGAAAGTCGATGAAAGCGGATATTTTCAGTTAAAACAATCTGTTTCCCTCGGTGTTTTTAAACCAAAATTCAGCCGTCGCGGTCCTGCAAAAAAAAATGTTATCCGACGTTTCGCAAGCACGAGCGCCTGACATCTTCAGAGTGCTCCTGTGCAAACCCCATCGAATCTGCATTCAGTTTTCACTAATAATCCTTGATTTGGTCTTCACAAATTTTCACTCCTCCTTCGTACCTTCGGATCCCGATAGTTGGGGAACAGGCGCCCCCAGTTTCCCCCCTTTTGATGGGGTCCCCAAAGCGTCGCGACGCTCCCGTTGGTGACGGCGACCCGTCGTCATGGCGACGCGCACAGGAATCGAAAATCAGTCGCAATCCAATAATCCATCGTGTCCAACTTGGGCTCGTTTGTTCCGAACATTGAGACTCGATTTTCTCACGCAAATCGCTGCCCCTAAAAGGTGCACAAGACTGAAGTAAATACGCCCCTATGGGGCCTGCTGATCCGTGACGAATCGGCGTGTCACAATAGGCGCCTCCACCGCAGATAATTCGTCTTCGGATGGATACATTGAGAGTTAATGTGATGTTGCCGAAAGTCACGTGTGTCTTTTTATTAACTGTCCACTAATCGCTTTCATGCGCGCACGTTTCCTACAGGACACTTTTATCGGACATCTGAGGGGGCCGGAACAGGTTCAAGTGCAGTCTTGGAGGAGTGATTGAGGGCGCAAAATCACTCACAGACTTTTTTATGAATCCCGTTCAAAGCGCCTGTTGTTCAAGCAGAACGTTATCTAGTAGTTTAGTAGGAAAGCACAGTAACCTGAAAATCTTCAAAAAATTAGCGCAAGTACGGATTTGAAAATTTTGCTATTTTCAGAAGCCACTTCGCTGCACAACTGAGAACATTTTTATGAAAATCGCCCGGAATTCTGCGTTTTGCCAGCTTCCTTAAAAATCGCTAAATTGATTTTTTCATTCGGGGCCCCGTTTCCTTTACAAATTCGCATCTTCCAATCTAAAGCAAGAAGCCCTCTGCAATTTTTACGATCTTAAGAAGACAAATGGCGGTAAAAACAACCCGAAAATCTCCAACTGCAACCCAGAAATCATCAACTTCCCCGTCCGGGTTAACTGGGGGAGCAGAACCAAGAAACCCCATGTGCATCCGAAACCCCACACCAAAAAAACTCACATATTCCATCCCTAAAACCATCCACCATGCATATACTCCATTCATATCAATTACACCCCAGGTAAACTTCTTGCTCTTTGCACGTTGCGTGGTGCCGCCCCTAGTCGAACAATCCATACAAATCAAATTACCAGAAAACAAACAAAAACAATCGCGAGCTGAAACATCGTGGGCGTGGCGACGATTAGGCTCCGCCTCCGTCGCTATTTGCCTGCGAACTGGCCGGCCAATCAGAGGCCGGCTTTCAGGACCAGATGCGTCTTTCAGCTATTGGGGCTGAGACTGTTGGTCGATCAAGCTAGTTGTTTGAATGGTTCGTAGGTGTGATGGTCATTTGTTTTCGATGTCCGCGCTGATCTGATCTGGTCACAGTGTTTTGGCATCTGAGACGCACCCTTGATACGGTGTGCTGCGTGTGGGTGGGTGGTTTTGTGCAATATCTTCGGCGCAGAAATAGAGAAACTATGGAAATGTGCACGAAATCGAAAAGCAGCTTCTTGGATGGACTGGAAGATAAAGAAATGAAGGTATTTAATGCCTAAGTTGTGCCCAGACCTTCGGGCGCGACACTGGTTTGAACGCGAAAACACTCCAAATTTGTTTAATGATCAGATTTTGACGAAATTCAAGCAGAACAAACGCTTTTGATGTTCAGTTTGTCCCAAGCTATTTGACAGTGACGCAATAATTGTCGTTCTTTTCCTATTGCTTGTGCACAGAGCGAGACGCACATTTGATGCCTTCATCAAATTGCTTCAATTGGTGAAACCATCAAAAAATGTTTTATATGTGATTTCTTGGCAGTTTCTGCGAATTCTCTCCCTCGAAAGTTCTCATTTCGATTTACCCGTACATTTTCGATTTCGCGACAAAAAATCACTCGCACTTTTGGAAAATAACGCCCTGTTCCATTGATTCGGCCCTGGTATATCAGCAAGGTGCGACAAGAACAGACTGATTACCATGGCAACCGACATGTTATTCTCTCTCATGCCCGCAGCCAGACTACGTCAGCTTGCCTACGAGGTGCGATGGAAAGGTTGGCGTTAACTAGTTTGAAAATGTGTTAAAATTTGGGAGTGGCAGCCAAACGACCAGCAAGCAGGTTTCGTGGGCATCGGAAAAAAACCCGCCTTATTATTAAATCATCCACAAATAACACCACGACTTGGGAAAAATATTCATAAAAAACGATGAACACATCAAATC